AATCCAAAATAAGGTGACTAGAATACAGATACTCAACAAAACCATTATATATCGTGCTATGTTCTTAAATTCTCTTTTGCTTAAATGAGATTATATTAGAGCTAAGATCGAGCCGGATAGTATTCCTGTCTTAGTGTTAACTTGAAGATTTTACAATAAAGAGTCCCATCTCTGATGATGTCAATCATATGATGGACGAAACTCATCTTGTTTTTACCGGAAAAGACGGAAGAGGTGTAATGGACTACATCAATCTTAACGTCATTTAAAGCTTAACTACTGCAGTACAACGGTATTCAACGGCCCTCTTCTGGTGAGATCGACCTTTGAATCTCTTCTTCGTACACTTTTATACGAAATGATAGTCCCACTTACCATGTTATCCCAGGAGTTTCACCGAAACCTAGTTTTTCTTCTTATCTACAAAAATATATGGATGCACAAGCAATGCGTTCTTCTTTAAGCTTTGCTAATGCATTCATGCCAATCCATATGCTGACATACGATGAGCTACTCGCCAAATGTAAAGATGCCTGAAGAGTAACTGAAGTGATTAAGAATTCACTGTAATCAGAGGAGCTTGTATTACGAACTTTTAACCTTTGACCAACAGTTAAGTATACTATTTTCAGGAAAAATGGGTACAGCTTTCCTTTATTTCCGTCTCCTTACTCAATTTGAGCACACAATTAGGGCTGATCCCTGGTATTTTTGCAATCTACATCTTCCAGTCAAAGTATTGAATGTTTTATGAAATATCAGAGATGAGTCAAATTAACATTAAAGGTAGATGAACTTGAGTTAGGGACGAGGGAACCTCTCTAATAGGTAGGATGTGGGCCAAATGCATAGGAACTATCATTACTTTGTCCTGGCTCGTGATTTGGCCAGTGGGTTTGCATACTGGAGGCGTACATTATATCTCGAGTACAAATGGCGTTGAGAGAAGAGGGCAGCCATATATACCTCATCAATGCTCATAAATAATGGGCTGACCTCCAACTCAAGATCCCTTGATATCTATGCTTCTCCATCAGTAGAAAGGAAATTCGTCTTCATTAACATCTTTCAGATATTAGCCAAACAATCACAATGCAGCAGAGGATGCAGGATCAGGTACATTTTTCAAGGACTTCCTGTCACTCTGACGGATTTGCGAAAAGTGGAGGTCAACCCAACACTATCAGCTAAAGAAGAATGCGACCACGCAAAGGGCCATTACATCTTGGTCTTTATACCTAAAGCCGCGCATGGTTATTTTTCGACTAGGTAGAGTCGCAAGATTTGCATCCTGAGCTAAGCGGGTCTATGCTGTAATCGCCAAAACCTATGATACTAGATGGGCGAATACTTGTCGGATGCAAATAAGGATCTGTCATATTTTCAGACTGTAGGGAACAAGTAGATATGCTAGAGCGTACTACTGCAAGAAAGAGTCTTTTATTCTGATGATAATTCTTACCTACAAAAAAGCTCGAGCCAAGCACCCTGGTGGCTGATTCTTAATAAATTACGTCTAATAATATATGTTTCCCGAGGATCTTCACAATCATTCTATAGAGCATAATTGCTATAAAGAAACGAAATTTTTGAATGACATTATGTTTTTGTTGGGATTAACGTTGTTACACAGAAAATAGCGTAAGAGAGCTAAGTGCCTACACATATTTCATACATAAGGAATTTTGTTCTACATGAGTTTTTCATGCCTTCTTCAGAATTGCCAATTCACAAGGATTTGACCTATACCCTTTTTGGTTTAACAGTTTTATTAACCACTCTATTTCTCTTGTCTACTTTTACTCTAGTCACTTGGAGATCTTATCACATATCTCGAATCTAACCTGCTTACCATTAATCGAAGTCTGATTAATACCGACTGCCGAAAGCGTTTGGCAAACGCAATCTGGCATGAGTGCCTTGAGCAGTTTATGGAACAAGTGCTTAAAGAGGGTCAGGACGCCGGACATGATCAGCCAGGTACACCATCTGCCAAGACTAAGGGTCAGTAGCTCTTTCTGCCAACCGAATTTACACACAATCATTCATAAGATTAATATTATGCTATTCTATTTAATTGCGACGTTTTTTTGCTCTATCTTCAGTTGCAACTATGTTGGTTCTCTGGGTATTGCGTCGTGCGCACTGATTGCTCCGATGTCAAGTAGGGATCATGTATTGTAGTTAAGAGCACTTGCATTCCAAGCCGGAATGCTCGGAATGCGTTTGCATCTCGGAAGGCGATACCATTAAGCTTCAACCATGGAGGAGGTCCTTTGGCATAATCCTATAACAAAACATATGGTGTAAGGCAGCTTTAAACCATGGCTGGTGCCTACGGCAGTCATCGTTCTTCAGATTAATCTCTTGCTTAAAAAGTGTCCTTATTTGCGCCATTCTCATCTTAGTAAGATCAGGTCTGAAGAAGCGCCTCCAGACAAGTTCTTCTTTTTGCTATAAACTTGTGCTCTTTGTCGGATCACGAAAAGTGTCTAGTTTCAGAAGTCTGTATATTGAAATTCTATTAATATAGTTAAGCCACAATCACCTGTTAATAGGTTCTTTATTTATTATTAGTTACGGCAGACATCGACAAAAGCATAAACATAAAACGAAGAGTTCTGTTCAATTGTATTTCAGCGTTTCGCTGAAGGCGCTGTAGTGATGTCTTGAAATGTCATCATTTCGTGCCTTTAAAGAACATTCTTAAAGATCATAGCCTCTTTTGTAAACATTTTGGCTTGCAGAGGTGGACTCCTTTAGTACTTAACTCTTCAATAAAGTAGAAGGATAGAATTGCTGAGATTCAGCATATTTTCCCTGCAAGATGTAAGCGAGAACCTATTCTCGTTTATTCACTTGATCAAGTTACCTTCATCTCTGCGCTAGAGTTCAGGGATCAGAATCTCATGCTACAGGGCAAGATTTATGAGGGCAGCCTCATATTATTGGAAAGATTTATTATTCTGGCACAATTCCAGATAACCCCAATGGTTTGAATAAGGAAAGTTGTAACAAAGTGGTCTGAATGCAACTGGTAGACTGGGTATTCTGAGGACACTAAGAGGCAATCTCTGAATATTTTATCTCATGAACTAAAGGAACTAGTTTTTTTAGGAAGACTTCTTCAATCATTGTGGATTGCTTTAAAGGCCATTCGGATTAGAGAATTCCTAGTTTGAAATGCTAGCAAATCCCTCTAAAATAAGCTTCGTTTCGAGTAAAATTCTTTGTTTAGTTTCGGGGCACAATATATTTTAACTTTTTATCACAGCTTCCCTACCCCTTTGCTCAAACTATTTATTTTTCCTTGCCCTTTGTAATCTCTAACCACGCCTTTTTTTAATTCTTCCTTTTGCTTCACTATTATCGACTTCAAAGGATGTGATGACACTCGAGACGAACATGTCTCAGAAGCAGTTGCTAGAGCGCAGTTGAACTTGCGTCGTTTAAGCCAATCTCTTGAATTGTTGCAAGAATTTTTTGAAAAAATCAATTTTGGTACATTTTGCTCTGATCCTGAGGATTTAAGTCTGTTTCAGGTAGGTTTAGAGCCCAATGGCCCTAATACTTTCAGGATACATGCATAACAGTTAATAAATAACAAGTCAGGAATAGCGCATAGTTTAACATTTCATCATTTTATAATATGAGCTCAGAGTTTAAGAATTATATCGCCTTAAAATGACCCTATCAATAAATATTTTATTGTAGTTTCGGTAAATGGTTTAAGCCTGTTATAGAAAATAATATATTAGAATTTTTAAATGCTTTCAAGAAAAAGTGTATACTTTGGCATCCTATTAATCTTTATTTAACTTGTAAAGTTAAGGGCAAGTGCTTCAAATGTCGGTCCATTTTAGTAGAGAGCTAGAAGATCCTTTACAAACCTTAGTGGGCATAACTATGTAGGAAAATCTTTCAACCACTCCTAGAGTATTTAATAACTTTTAAAAAATACGTTTGCTCAAGTTAAAAGTTTTGCTCTTACAAACCTGTTTCCCATATACCTTATAGCATTTAGTCCATGTTCTTTTATACCAGAACTACATAAAACATCTCTATTAGTTTTATTTGCCGACAAAATATTGTTATGGAGACCAAAATCAGTGAAATCCTCAGGCAAGTTTATTATTCCTCGAATAAACAACGAAGTTCAGAAGTTCCATGGCAAAGTAATCGGAGGCAAATAACTATGTGTGTTAATCGAAGGTATGAAGACCAACATCGTGTGGCCTTTTTTGTGGTCGCAGTCTCCTTTCGTTGTATAAAAGTTTTTTGACCTTGTTTTCGCAACTCGGTCATATTTGTAAGAAAACTTAGAGAAAGACACCTAGTCCGGAGTTCATTCTATGCATAATCATTTTCAAAGTTGAACCGTGGACGTGGTACATTCCCAGACGTTTCGCCGGCATCATAGTCGGCAAGAGACTAGGGCATGGGAAGTAATAGACTTAGTATTAGAGATAAAAACAAGATTGATGCAGCGGCGATCGGAGCTAGCGCCTGACAGTAGGTTTTATAAGGACGTGGTCCATGTAGCAAAGGCATGACTATGAGACTTACTAAAAGGCTTGAGCCTCGAATTAGTCACTTAGACGCAGGGTGGGGCGAATAACGCCTCGAGTGGCACAGATGGGGTGACAAGGGTCGAGTGAAATATGTTAACCAGGGAGAGAGCAGACGGATCTTACGGGACAAGAGGGAGATTGTGGTAAGAGCTAGAGAAAAAGGACTGCGTAACAATATGGCAGACTCTAATCCCCATTCCCAGCACAATGATGAAGGGA